TGCAAGAGCATTGGGTGCATTTTGAGGGATTGCAGAAGGGCAGACCAAATACCGACTCTGTCACATCGGCCATTACCTCCCCCTTCCCTCCACCACAGTACTAATAGAAAGTCCTTGCTGAGTAGCCTAATAGAGATTACTTATGTTAAGGCACACTTACAGAAACGAGTCTTACTAAAAGAAGGACAGACTACCCTTAAATTGAAAGGGTGCCTTGACCTAGTTTCTTGATTTCCATGAAAATAAGCCCATTATTACAAACTACTCCAGAAATGTTATTGAGGACTCTCAGACAATTTAACATGAGATTTTGAAACTTGGCCCTTAAACCCCACTCTACCTTTTTAGAGTTAAAAACACTGAGAAAAAATATCAATAAAATCTGGATTCCCATTGAAGTGAACATTTGAACATTATTTTTGCTTCATTTAAATGCTACCCATTTTCAGATTTATGGGAATGATTAAAAGAATGGAATCTGTATTGTTGTCAAATAAGTATATATACACGCAGAGAGAAAAAGCTAGATAGTCAAACAGAGTAGTGGGCGATATTATAGTTAATTTTTCTTCTATTTGCTTACTTATATTGTTATATGTTTCTAAAATGAATGCATATTACTTTTTCAATAAGAAAACAACCCAACTGTCATTTTAGAATGAGGAAAATGGAATCCTAGTTCTAGGCTAATGGTGAGCTAAAGTAAATAAAAGCTACTGCAGGGCTAAATTGCTAAGTGTCATAACATCCTCATTTTATGAAAAACATGATAATTTTCTGAAATGATAACTTTGTATCATAAACCATACTTCATTTTTTAGATGAAGCAAACTGAAAAAAAAAGGGTATAGCTTTTAAAGAGTTCAGAGCAGTGTCTAGCATGTAGTAAGACCTATATATGTATTAGATTAATAAACAAATAAAATTATATAAACAAATCAGGTGATAAATCCTTGGAGGATTGTACTCCTATGTGTGTACTATGAAATGAATTGGTAGGTTGGATAAGGGCAGTGTAATTTAAAAAAAAAAAAAGAAAGAAAGAAAAGCTTCTGTGGAGAGAAGGAACATCTTTGATCAGGTTTTAATTTAGAAAAAAAATTGCTGAGCAAAGTAATTTGGCATTAATGTATTAATACTGGGCGACTTGTGTGTTCTGCTAGGATACAGGTAATTGGGATTGGAATAAATTTGAGTTTCTAAATATGGGAGCCCTGGTGGCACAGTGGCTAAGCGTTCAGCTGCTAACCAAAAGATCGGCAGTTCGAATCCACCAGCTGCTCCTTGGAAACCCTATGGGGCAGTTCTACTCTGTCCTATAAGGTCACTGTGAGGCTTAATCCACTCGACTGCAGCTGGTTTGGTTTTTTTTAAAGGCAGAGAGCTAATCAGTAATAGGGCATTATCAATTTTATAAAAATTTCCCACTTGGCCATGTCTTATTGATTTAATCATATATTTATTAGTTTATGAATAGTATGTTTCCTTTTCATAAACAAGTATCCAGAAACCTGAGTTAAATCATTTCTGCATCTCCCAAACCCTTCTGTGGTATCAGTCTTCATACAAAGTGTTTGACATCTACTTAGTCTTCATGCCATCAAGACTTAAAGACTGCAGTAAAATTATTATTTGGTTGCTCCTGAGAAAGGACATGCAATTTGATTAATTACATAGAAAAAGGAGGGACCAGGCCTGGTTTATTAATTTTTAGAATTCACACTCTTGGTTCCAAAACGGAATTTTACTGATGATGCATAATCAAGAATACTGCAAACCCTCAAAATGATTAAGTAACAGCTAAGGTGTCACACTGAGATATTAAATCTTTCATCATAGCAGAACAATATTAAATTCATACAAGAACAGAATGATTACATTTCTTTTTGTAGAATTCCTAGTAAGAATCAATTTATGATGATATTTTAAGAAGATATTTCTAGTCAAACCAGCAATAGATAGTCAAGAAAGTAGAAACTGTAAATCAGTGAAGCACTAATCCAATCACTAAATATTTGTGGGGAGCCCACTGTATGTGCCAGGCACCAGAGAAGGAGCTGAGGGTATAGTGATGAGAAGACAGATGCAGTTCTTATGATTGCATTACTTAGAATTGTTGGGAGATAGCAATTAAAAAAATGGCTGCACAAAAATACCAAAACAAACCAACCAACCCATTGCCACCGAGTTGATTCCAACTCATAGCAACCCTATAGGACAGAGCAGAACTGCCCCATAGGTTTCCAAGGTTGTAATCTTTACAGGAGGAGACTGTCACATCGCTCTTCTACAGAATGGCTGATGGGTTCCAACCACTAACCTTTCAGTTAGCAGCCAAGTGCTTAACCACTGTGCCACCACGCATACACACACACACACACACACACACACACACACGCATGCACACACACGTATTTATAAAATTTGAAAATTTATGAAGTAAAAGAAAAAAATGCTACAGGACAGTATAATAGGAGCTAATTTAGACT